TATATTTATTGAAATTCTTACCCTTCTGTTGGAAAATGCTTGCTACGGTATTGTTCAGGTACCAAAGATGGTAGTGCGAGGCACTAGCTTAACAAATGCATTTAGGAGTGTAGTCCGTTACTTTTTGGTTATCGAGTCGATGCTCTGATTGTAATACTGGGGGTTTAGTGTCTGCATTCGAACTCATATTTTTGTATATGGATTATATTTATATATAATCCATTGTTTTGATTATATGATAATGTATGTATATTATGACTTGATAACATGAATGGTGTATGAACTATATGGCTTAATGCCTTGCATATTATATTTTGATTCCTCCTTTGGAGAAGATAATATTATTATGATTCCGTTGCGTTTGCACGAAAAAGAAAGTATATGTCATCAATGTATTATGTGATTAAATGATTAAAGTGACGAATATGTCATGTCCGTTTTTCTTGAATATGTGAATTGATGTTGTGACACTCCTTCCGTGCAAATTTTATTTTCTCTGATTTTATTTATATCGTTAATTCGAGATTTATTAGAAGGGGTGTTACAAAGCCCGTTGGTGAAAGAGCAAAGGGTGTGAGTTCAACACCGACTCCTGACAGTTTGCTTTGTTTTGCTTCCAACTTGTTGTTTTTTCCTTAATTTCTTCCCTAACCCTAATTCTTTTAACCTTAATTTATTTTTTTACTAACCTAAAAATAAATCTTTTTTTAAACCCTAAAAACAATTAGGTTTAGGTTTTATCGTTAACCTTTTAATTAATTTAATTAATTAAATTTTTTAATTAAAATTAATTAGATTTTTAGGTTTGAATTAGTTATCATTCTTTTCATAAAAATCACCTAAAAAACATTTCTTTTCTATCTTCCTCTTATTTTATTTTCTTAGATAAAGTGTATAGGACGCGTTCGATTGTAATAGTATAGTTTCATTTTTCGCACTTTTTCCCCATTATGTAATTTCTCCGAGTATGTAATAGTTTTATGGTTTATTTTCCGCATCTCTATTATGTATCTACCCCAAAGCTCTGTAATAGCCAAGGTTTATATTTCCGTCTTTATATTTCTGCTACTATATTTACTATTACTGCTTAGTAATTAGGATTGTATGGAAAAGACTAAAACCAAATGTTAGAAAACCCTAAGTTCAAAGATAAATAATTGAATTGAATCACTATGCACACTTGCACCTCTAGGGTAGCTTCTCTTTGTTGCCTTCAGATTAAACGGTCATGTCCCTCGAAAGTAGGTATACTTTAGAAAAACCTCTCGAATAAAAGATCATACGTCCCTTGATGACCCTTCGAAGTTGCCTTTCGAAAAAAATGATCAAGTCCCTTACGAGATTGCTAAAGCATCCTTACATGTTGCCTTCAATGACTGAACGATGACCCTTCGTCTGTCCCTTCACATCCAAAAGATAGGGCTTCCTACCAACTAATGGTACGGATAACATTGTCTCTAAAATAGAAGGAAAATGATGAGAATGACCTTAAGTGGGTAAAATATTGTTAATCGCCCACTCACAAACTTTTCAAAACAAAACATTTTCACATCACACTTTTCAAAACAAAATATTTTCAAACAAACACTTTGTACGCATTCTTGAGGACTGATACAAGAATCGTTACAAAGTTCGCCTTACATTGGCATTTCAAAATATATTCAAACACACACACAGAAGCAAATTTTCAAAGTGAGCTAAGCGATTAAGAGCCCGTAGATAACTATGGATGAAAAAGGTGCTAACACCTTCCATTTTCATAACCTACCCCCCGAACTCAAAATCTTCAAGGTCTTTCCTATTTTTTTCATCCTTTCCTTCTTGGATAAAAGAAAAGTCGGTGGCGACTCTTACTATCCGCAACATTTGCGATAAAATGTAAAACAAGTCAGTTCTCCCACCGTGTTACAAAGTTGTTCACATGTTGATGGGTTTACGTGTAAAGGGTGTGGTAGTGAATGAGAGAACAAATGCCAACTAGTCCATAACTCAAGAACTCCTGGGTGAAGAATTGCCAGAAAGAGCTAGAAAGGTCCAATTCGTTAAAATGACTTGGCTCCGGGAAAAATACGATGCATTTGATTTAAATGAAGATTCCACCATCGACCAAATTCATAAGAAAACTAGAATTTATATTTTATTGCTTTTCGCTAGTTTATTATTTCCTGACACTAATGGTAACACAATACATCTTATGTATTTACCATTATTAGTTGACTTTAATAAAATAGGTAGATACAGTTCGGGATCTGCAGTTTTATCGCATCTATACTGAAACCTATGTAGATGCGCTAGAAAAGAAGTTCATAATTTTGCCGGTTGTTCGACACTACTACAAGCTTGGGGATGGTAAAGGATGCCGAATATAGCACATAGGAATCATAATCCATTCCACTTTCCATACGCAACAAACTAAGTTGAAACTACTTTTTTGTCTTAAACTTATTTACTATGTGAACAACATTTAAGTATTTATTTATTTTTAGATGGTCTGCCTATGAGATGGATTACGAAAAGACGCATCATCATTGTGCACCTGGCTATCGGACTTTCATCGATCATTTCGAAGAAGCTGAAGTAATATTCTTAACCATATATTACTAATAATTACTATTATTTTATATAGTTCGTTACACTAATAACTGGTTTTTTATAACAGTTTACGTGAAGGCCCTATCTAAGATTTGAAGATATGGATTCGACTGGTAGTCATGTGTGGAGTTCAAAAAATTTTCTTATTTATTTTACTACAGTTGAAATACATCATACATATAGGGTAAAACTCCAATTTGGCATTCTGTAAGGCGTACCGGTTGCTCCAAAGTGCATGCAGGAGTATCACAAAAGTATGGTGAACGACCAATGAGCATATAGCAATTGGAAAAATCATTACAAACAAGAGCGTCGTTAATGGCAGAACCGCAAAGATAAAGTTTTACGAGGAGATGTCATGTTAGAAGAATGTAAACCGAGTAAGGAATACATGAAATGGTATAAGTCTGTTACAAATTTGTATCTTTCACCAAATAACTTCTTATTTGACCCTCGTAATCTGCCAACATCTTCAAACGTCCAACACACCAGACCATCGTCAAGCACTTACATCCAACAACCATTCATGAGCAATCAAGAACCTTTCCTTAACACCCAACAACCTTTCATCCCAACACAAGCACCTGTTACCCTAAGCCAAAGATACCATCAACAAAACCCTTCATCTAACCCCACCCAATGGGGAATCCAACAACATAATCCTTCATCTAACCCCACCCAATGGGACACCCAACAACAATATTCACATTTTACCCAGTCCACATCAAATGGTCTACCACAAAAATCATTAACACTATAAACTCCACATGACCCCAACTTCCAAACACCCCAACACAAATGTCTATTTCCCAACCACAACAATTTACCTTCCAAGATTTCTACCAACCCTTAGTAAATAGTCCAATGCCTACTAATCCCTTATCAAATTAGAATTAGGAGGGAACCAAATTAAATTATGGCAGTGCAGCCGAGACAGACTATACCAATGATGAAATGATTGAGGAATTTTTAATGGGCGGATGTGACGCAAGACCTTCAACTCAACCACAAAATGAAAAAGAAAATCGCAGAATAGACCAATATACCAGACAAGCTCCTCCTTGTGGAACTCACCAACGATTGACACGATCTGGTCAAAATCGACAGTAGATGTGTTTTCTTGTAATTTTTTCAAATTTTATTTTAATTTAATGAATTAAATATTATTATTTTAATTTATATTTTAATTTAATTATTATTTCATTTTTTAATTAAATTTTTGTTTAATTATAGTAGAATTATATAATTTAAATATAATTAAACAAAATTTATATATATAATTCAAATAAGTTAATTTCAAAAAAAAATAATTCACATTACAACACTTCCGTCCATTGGATGGGCGAATCCTCTTCGATTTTCAACAGCTCCGCCCATTGCTTTTACGAATGATAAATATTTTGTTCTATTTCGCCCATTCACTTGGCAGATGCTTTGTGCCAACAATGAAATTTATTTGAAAACATGGTAGTTTGGGATTATTGAGTAAAGATGATGGTATAGTGGAAATTGTTGTGTAAAAACATGACAGGACAGTAAAAAATTCAGAAATTATAGTGCAGGACACACTGACACAATTCATATTTATTTATTTAACTATTTATTTTTTCAAAAGTAAGTTTTTCTTTATCTAAGTAAAGTAAATCTGTGTGCGTGTGTGATTTAGTGGTGAAAGTTTGGATTTTGAGGGTGTGCTCTCTTTAGTATTTTAGGTTGAAATCTTCTCTTTATTTCGATATATATATATATATATATATATATATATATATATATATATATATATATATATATATATATATATATATATATATATATATATATATATATATATATAAAAGAAATGGTGAATGTGAATGGAAGAAAAAATAGTCAAAAGGATCAGGTTTACGACTATAGAGAATCCGTCTTGCAAAAGATGACATGGCATGACATAAAAAGGTAAATGTGAATGCTTCATGTGTGAACTCAAGAGTGACACACATATTAATAAGCAATGACCAAACACCTTCAGGTTTTTCCTTGTGAATAATCACAAAATCAACAACATAGGGGATGATACGAAATACTATTATTTTTAACGGTAAATCATTCATATTTGATGATTGTATTTTCGCTGTCATTTTTAATTCTTGAAGATGGTTTAATATTGTCAGTAACTCTTCTATTTCATATAATTTTCACTTTTGAAACTCTATGTCTTTTAATTGTATCACAAGGTAAGAGTGTGTTTCTGTGGAGCTCCGAATTAGAGTCTTTCTTGTAACTCAAGAAATCGATTTGAAGTAAAATATAAATTATTATTTATTGAAAATAAAAAAATCAATGCAACATAACGCAACACACCGCTTGAAACTAGTACAACCTTTTCAACTCATCTTCAACCAAGGTACCAACTTTTTCTTCTCTCCATGAAACTTCACTCTTCTCTTCTCTTCTTTCATGTCTTCTTCCAATTCTATACTCTTTCTGCTACTCTCAACTCAGATGGCTTAGCACTTTTATCATTCAAATCTCACTGGACATCACTTCCACCTCTCATAAACTCAACATGGATTCCATCTCATTCAACACCATGTTCATGGGCTGGTCTCAAATGCAACTCTTTCCACCGTGTTATCTCTCTCAACCTTTCCTATCTTGATATTTACGGTCAACTAGGACCTGAAATCGCAAACTGCACACAACTCCAACACTTAGACCTTAGTTACAACTATTTCAATGGCCAAATACCTTACTCTTTCACTAACCTTCACAATCTCAAATATCTTGATCTTTCTGTTAATCTTCTCAATACTCCATTCCCTCATTTCTTGTCTCAAATCCCTCACCTCAAGCTTCTTGATCTCTCTTACAACCAACTTCACGGTTCCATTTCAACTACTATTGCCAACATGACTCATCTCCAAGAATTGTACCTCCAGTTTAACAACTTCTCTGGTGCAATTCCTTCATCTATTGGGAACTGTACTCAGTTACAAGACTTGTATTTGAATGATAATCAGTTGGAGGGTGTTCTTCCTTACAGTCTCAACAATCTCAATCATCTTCTTAACTTTGATGTTGCCAACAATAAACTAACAGGTGCTATTCCATTGTGTTTTTCTGGTTGTAGAAATTTACAGTTTTTGGATATGTCATTCAATGATTTTGGTAGTGGCATTCCATATAGCATTGGTAATTGTACTTCTTTATAACAATTTGCTGCTGTGAAATCTAACTTGGTTGGAACTATTCCATCTTCCATTGGTCTGCTCACCGAGCTTTCAGTTCTTCGCCTTTCCGAGAATCATTTGTCTGGTAAAATACCTTCTGGAATAGGTAACTGTGAGTCTTTGACTGAGTTGCATTTTTATTCTCATCGACTTAATGGAAACATTCCAAGTGAATTGGGGAAACTCGGCGAATTACGCGACCTTGAACTGTTTTCTAATCAATTGAGTGGAGAAATTCCGCTTGAGATATGGAGGATTCGACATCTCGAGCATCTGTTTGTGTATAATAATAGTCTTACTGGTGAACTTCCTGTGGAGATGACAGAGCTCAAGAACCTTAAGAACATTTCATTGTTTAACAACATGTTCTCTGGAGTTATACCTCAAAGCATGGGAATTAACAGCAGTTTGGTGCAGTTGGAATTTGTAAACAATAGTTTCACTGGCAACCTGCCACCAAATCTTTGTTTTGGAAGAAACTTGAGTGTTCTGAATATGGGAATCAATCGGCTTCGAGGAAGAATACCTCCAGATGTTGGAAGATGCACAACTCTAAGAAGGGTCCTTCTTAAACAAAACAAATTTACCAGGCCTCTTCCTGATTTTGAAAGGAATGCCAATCTTTTATACATGGAGATCAACAACGGGTCAATTCCATCTAGTTTAGGAAACTGCACGAATCTCACGGATTTAATGTTGTCCGCGAACAAACTTAGCGTCCGTATACCACCGGAGTTGGGAAGACTTGTTAATCTTCGAACGCTGGATTTCAGTCATAATAACTTAGATGGTCCTTTACCTTTTCAGCTCTCAAACTGTACCAAAATGGACAAGTTTGATGTGGGATTTAACTTCCTGAATGGTTCATTGCCGTCGAGTTTGCAGAAGTGGACAAGGCTAAACACACTACTTTTGAATGAGAATCGTTTTAGTGGCGGCATTCCAGAGTTCTTGTTGGATTTTAAAGATCTTTCTGTACTACAGCTTGGCAGAAGTATGTTAACAAGCAAAACAAGCCCTACCAATAAAGGATTCATTTGAATGAGTTTTGAAGTGAAAACCGAACAGATTCAATCAACTGAACAGTTCACAATTGAACATAATATTTCACGATTTGAATAGGAATTTTGACAACGATCCACTCCCTCCACCTGACTAAAAAAAGGGGAAAATTGGTAAATACATTCTTCACTTTGACAAATTTTTTCGGAACTTCTCTAAGCATGATATGGTTGTTGTATATGTCGAATATACATTATGTTACAGTCTAAATATGATATGATTGCTATATGTTGAATATACAACATGTTACAAATTTTAGAAAGAAGACTTGGCTCAGCTCAGTGATATGGACGCTTATATGTCTGTCAGTAGTTAGTTTTCTATGAATTGCTGGTTCTAAGTTTTGGCAGACCATTATGCAGTCCAGGTCTTCTTCAAGCGCCAAAATACATGGTGACAATGGTGTTTTGTGAAGTAGTTTTTAAGGTGTCTTGTGGATTGACTATCACAATAAAGCAAAGCTAGACTGATAAAAGGTTATTAGGGGTCTTGAAGAAGGTATGTTAAGCATCGTAGCTTACAAATAGTGGAGAGGACATAAACTCATACTCGACTTCTAATGAGGATCTAGAGAGAATATGTTGCCTTTTTAGTTTTCAAGAAATGAGGTGATTGCCAAGAAAGATGCATAACCATTAACTGATTTTCATTTATGTTGGTGGTTTGTCCAATTTATTTCAAAATGCCTTGAGATGCAACAAGATGAAGAGGGAAAAAATAAGCCTTAAGCTGGAGAAGATTCAAGTTACTGTAAAACATGGACGGTTGCTTCATAGTAGGTGATTCATGTATAGGCTGAGCTGTGACATTGCATACCAGATGTTATGCTGCTAGTCCGAATGTACACTAGATCTTTGTTATGCACTCGAGGTATGTCCACCTTCAAGATAATATAGCAGCTATGGCGCGACTGTATGTGTGCATCCTTGTTACATCTGTCTGTTCAGAGGGTTTCATTAGCACTTTCTCCTTCGCACTTTGGTTCTTATAATGCATTTCACATACTACTCGGAACTCCTGAGGCACAAACACGTAACCAATGGATCTGTAACAACTATAGGTATGTCTAAGTCAGCTAAAACCTTCAGTATGCAAAGATGCAATTAGCTTGATGAACAATGATCTTAAATCATGTTAGGGCTGTGCTTTACATTGCCATAGATATTCATTTTGTCATAGATCATGTTCGGAATAACAAGATTCGGCTTCAACATGTTTCAATTAAGGATCAACTCGCAGATTGTCTTACCAAACCCTTGTTCAAGCAGCGTCATTAAGATCTTCGATTCAAGATAGGAGTATCTGACGGTACCCCTATCTTGCGGGGCAGGTTACAGAGTCAAAACATTTAATTTAAGAGTTACTCTAGGATCAAGCATTCAAGATGAGAGTAATTATGGGATCAACTCGCAGATTGTCTTACCAAACCCTTGTTCAAGCAGCGTCATTAAGATCTTCGATTCAAGATAGGAGTATCTGACGGTACCCCTATCTTGCGGGGCAGGTTACAGAGTCAAAACATTTAATTTAAGAGTTACTCTAGGATCAAGCATTCAAGATGAGAGTAATTATGGGATCAAGCAATCAAATCAAATTGTAACTAATTAGAGGAAATTAAACAATAACAGTAGGAAGCAATTATTATGACAGCAAATCTGTTTCCATATATTACCAATATACCTTGTGAATAATACAAGCCAAAACATTATTCCTTATATATAGCCACCACGTAATAGTTTCCAAAGATCTAGATATTGGGAGATACAAAAACTATAAAGCTTACTCTTCTCATGGTCAAATGTTTCTCCATCAAACATAGAAGATTTGATTGAGTAAGAAATATTTCTTTTCTAATTTTAAAATATTTTGAACTATAAGCTAGGATTAGGAACAATCTAGTTATACTTACAACCTCTAAAGCGTTGATAGAAGATGATGACAAGTTAGTATCAACGTCACTGTCTGTCACGTCTGATGACACTGCATTGATAGAAGATAATGACAGTTTATCTGAATCAGTGTCACTTTTTGTCTAAATCAGTAACAAGTGATAATGTTGTCTCTGATGACTAAGTTAATGTTAAATGTGGTATCTAAGGACTAAGTTAACTGATGACTAAATAAGTGTCAATGTGGCCTTTGATGACTAAATTAGTGTCAATTTGGTCCAATTTAATAGGACTTGATAGACCTAAATTAGTGTCAATTTGGTCCGGTATAACTTGGTTTGATTCCTTTGTCATTAGTGTATGCAAGTCCATGTCTTTTTCAAAGATAATTTACTCTTACATTGTTAAATGCTAAGGTGAAGAATAAGAGTATAATAACATGAAATCAAAAGTTATATGATTAGTAGTACTATAGTCAAGAATCCAAACATTCTTAAGAATATTACCACAAACATAAAAAACTCAAAAACAAAATAGGTTGGAATTTAATTTTGCACACACAAATGAAAAGTGCAGGGTCATACGATAAAACTGACGGCTGAATTCCCAAAACATATGTGACTACGACGGCGCTTAAGGGCGTGTATGGTAGCCGTCGTTTTGAGAGAAAATAATTTTCAAATGGATTAAATGAGAATGAATAGTGATAAAAGTTAAAGGAAACTAAAAATGAAACAAAATGCGAGATGAGATATTCCCCTTTTCTTCCAAATGTTAATACTGTTAAACTTTTTCACTTTGTTTACTCTAAGCTCATAGTCTGTAGTAACAACTAACCTGAAGATTAATGCTTCTGACCTACTTGCATTGAAGTTGGAGGAGTTGAATTTGCTTCTGACATTTATGTTTGATATATAATTTGGAATAAAGAAGAGATGTTTATATATAGGGTTACTCACTTAGCAATCCATACATATGCACAACTCATCAATGCACATCAAGTACAAAAGGCAGAACAATATGTGTTTACGAAGTAAATATTCAATGATTTATAAAAATAGTGTGATTGACTAAATGATGCTCAAGCATATATAAGACACCAATATGTTCCACTTCTTCTATTTGTAAACTTCTCTCTGATTGAACTTGAGATTAGTAATTGGTTGGTGCTGTCATTATTTTCAAGAAGGGATTTTTTATGCTTGCATTATTTACACGTATAAAAAAATTACACACTGTGTAAAGAAAGCAATTGTTCAAACTTGGCATAAGGATCCAGTCATGATGTGATATACACATGTTTCAAAAATAGGCCAGGAATATAATTTGGATCATAATACCATCTTTTTTAATGTCTGAAATAGTGAAACTATGGTTGTATCAAAAATTATAATATGACTAAATTTTGAGTATATAAACACTCCTCTCATAGAAACACTTGTGTTTAAATATATGCATGAGTTTTGATATATGTTTGAGTTTTGATATCTACACCGTTTGATTGGATAGATCAGAGATGTCAATGTAGTCGTGTCGTGTAAATTAACTAGTCTTCATCTCTTATTTATCAGATGTTTATAGTCAGCAAGAAGTGATTGACTATACAGAAACCTTTGCACAACTTGTCAGGTTAGAGTCTATCTGTCTCTTAATTTATTTTGTTGTTAATCATGACATCATCTTGTATCAATGGATGTTAAGAATGCATTTATGAATGGTTACATTACAAAGGAAGTGTATGTACACCAACATCTTGGTTTTGAAAATCATAAAAATCCAGATTTTGTTTTCAAACTTAAAAAATCATTGTACGGTCTAAAACAAGCTCCCAAAGTACGGTATGAAAGACTAAGCAATTTTCTTCTAGGAACTGATTTTACCAGAGGAAAGGTTGATACTACTTTGTTATGTAAGACATTTTAAAATGATATTCTAGTAGTTCAAATATATGTTGTTGATATTATATTTGGTTCTGTTAATGGTACATTGTGCAAGAAGTTTGTTAAGTCTATGCAGGCTGAGTTTGAGATAAGTCTGATGGGAGAACTCAAATTCTTTCTGAAGGTAGAGAAAACAAAAGAAAGGGTGGGGGAAGGGGGGAGGGGTTGAATTGTGCTCATAGAAATCATTCCCTTTTAGAAATTCTAAGCACTCAAATGATAATAGTTATAAAGACAATGAAGAGAAAATGACACAAGTATTTTATCCAGATTCACCGTTAGCTAAGGCTACTCCTGTCCACCCCCGCAAGGATGATTTCGCCTTATCCAAGGACTTAATCCACTATAACCAAACTGATTACAAGTGCACGGGCAACCGCCGATGACTAACACACAATGACACGTTCAGTAATGCAACCGAATATAACGTTCATTGACCCAATAGAATCTGATCTCTCAAGATCTTCTACCAGGATTTACCAGGATTTCCTTACAATGATATCCATCAGTGATCTCATAAGAGTCTGACCTTCACTCGGTCCCCTTTGAGATATGACTACCATTAATCTAACCGAATCCGATCCCACAAGATCTTCTATCAGGATATCCTATAATGACCGCAACCATTATCTTCTTGAGATCCGACTTTCACCATGTCTCCCAAGAAATCAATCAACAACAGTTGACGGTGATCTTGTGTTTACATGAATGCTTCTTCTAAGCAGATTACACGAGTGTTTTAAGCACATATTGTTTAACACTTCTTCGAGCAACAACTCAAGTGTTAAAACAATTTACATGAAGAGATTCGAACAAAAACATTATACGAGCAACAACTCTGGTGTTCATTACAATGTTCTACAAAGATGTATATGATCAGAAATTGAGTAGCATCTTGTAGTGTTCTTCTTGATCTTCTTGTTGAGAAAGTTCCGAGCAATAACTCCTTGCTTCTTCTGAGATCTACCAAGATGTATGTGATTTGAAATTGAATAACATCTTGTAGAATCTTCTTCTTCTTCGAGCAAGCTACGAGCAACAACTTCTCACTTCTTCTGTTTCAATCAAGATGTATATGATGATGGTTGTTTAACATCTTGATGAAATCTTCTTTCTTTCTTTCTTTTTTCTCTTCTTTTGTGGTCTTCAGAATTTGTAGCATTGCAGCTTTAACATCTTCAACTTTCTTTAAATCTTTAATCTTCTTTTATAGCTTTTGACAGAGAGAGACGTTGTGAGGATAAAATGAACTTTTTGTACTACACCAACGATTAGTTCCTAAGAGATAGAATAAGGTGTAAGAGTTTACACAGTATAAAATAATATTCCGGTATCATATCATTGTTTAATGATAGCTTTCCACCTTTTCCAAAAAATATAATAATGGTTCCTTTTTATAACCCATAGAACAATTTAAAAATATGTACTCTATTATCTTATTATAAACACTTGCATATTTATTTTAAAAAAATCAATAAATATAATAAATTTATTTTATTTATTAATCTTTCAATAATTTTTATATTAATATCTATAATTTTTAATTTAAATACTAATTTGTCTTACTATCATATTTAAAATGAATTGATGAATTTATCCATCTTTCTCATAAATATTAAATATATAATAAAATGTATTAAATAAAATTTATGCAATTTAAATTAATATTATAATTAAAAATAAAAATGATTTAAATTTATATTAAATAAATTTTTATTTAAATTTTTATAAATAATAAAGTTATTTTATAATAAAGAATACTGTTTTAAAAAATAGGTTTAAGACATGTAATCTTTTATCATATATTCCTAACACCAAAATATATATATATATATATATATATATATATATATATATATATATATATATATATATATATATATATATATATATATATATATATATATATATATATATATATATATATATATATATATATATATATATATATATATATATATATATATATATATATATATATATATATTAAATTGTGTTTTATTGATAATCTAAATTTTGTTTTAACTTAGATGTATTTGGTGTATTTTAATTATATTTAATTAATTCAATCAGTCCAATAAAAAAATCACAAATCGAACCAGATGAGATTGAAAATCGTAAAAACCGCATTTAGTTAGAATTAGTTTGGACTATTTTATGACAGAACCGCGCAATTCGATTTTATTTGCAGTTTATATGTTTAAACCGGCCCAAACCAAATCAAACCGCAATACTTATAAATAAACTCATATATTTAACTTTACTGCCCATATTATTATATAGCCCAACCCAAAATTTGGACACATAAAAAAAGATTCTAAACACCCGGCCTGTTGGTGCAAGGTAATGAAAGGGAGAAGAAGAATGAACAATGAATGATAACAAAGAGGACTACTTTTGTATATCAAATAGAGGAATGAATGAGTTACAATATTGATAGCCTAGGTA